ATGGGCCCCCGCCCGCAGCCTACCTCCCTCCTCCGCCGCTGCGCTCCCACGCTGCTGCGCGCTCCTCCCAGCCCGCCGCGGCCCGCCCCTTCCCGCGCCGCCCCTTCGCCCTGCAGGTTGTGCCCGCCCACCCCGCTCCGGTCGGCGGGTGCTGCAAGGTGTGTGGCGCCGGGGTCTGTCCGGCTAAGTCACCCAGGCCGCGGCCAGCATCCTCCCAGTGGCCGCTGGTGGAGACTGACCCGTGTCCCCTGATCCACCCCCGACTTGCCTTTGTCGTGTCGGGTAGGCTGAGCACGCTTGTCTCCCCTTGGGAAATTGCGACCACTTGTGGTTTTTTTCCTTCTGGACTCCTTTCCCAACAAACTGGCTGCCCAGGAACCACATAACACCCAGGGAAACTGAGGCTTGGAGTGGTGCGTGGTCACTCAGGGTCCCACAGCCAGTCGGGGTGAATCCAGGATTCACACCCTGGTCTTTTGAAAACCAAAAGGCTCATCCTCTGTGTTCAGCATGCAGAATTCTGAATTGCTTCTCTTTGGCCTTGACACCAGAAGAGCCCCCAGAGGTCTCTCTGAAGGGAGTCTGGGGAGACAAGTAACAGAGGAGGCAGAGGGTAGCAATGCCTACCTCTCTGGAAGAGAATGCCTAGACTCCCATCCCCTCTGCCTACTCAAAAACTCACTAGAGAAAACCCCAGTGTGGCTGACCGTCATGTGGCCATTGCAGAATCCCTAGATCAGGAAGCCCTTCAGCCTCCTGCACACACCCTGCCCTGCAGGATCCTCAGAGATCCCCTTCCAGACCCGGTGGGCCCAGGCTCAGCAGAGAGGTGCCCTACCCTTGGACTGTGCAGGACTTAGGGAGGTAGGGCAAGACTGGACCCAGACACCACCACAGAGCTTCCCCCTAGGCCACCCAGTGGGTGCAGGCTGCTCCCAGGAGACCACATCAACTCTCTGGTTACTGTGAGGCCTGGACTGGTCTAGAATGGCCAAAAAGTGTCTGGGAGCCTATGGCCTCAAGTTCTGGAGCTTTCATGGGACCCATGAACTCTAAGGTGGCTGCTGACACTCTGGGCCAGGAAAACAGAATGGCAACTGTGGGGCAGGAGCCCAGGGATCCATCTCTCATTCTAACTCTTCTTGGATACAGGTCTGTAGACCAATGGTCCCCATCCTTTTTAGCATCGGGGATCAGTTTTGTGGAAGACAGTTTTTCCAGACTAGGGTGAGAATGAGGGAGGGTTTGGGGATGTTTCAAGCACATTTATTGTGTACTTTATTTCTATTATTATTACATTGTACTATATAATGAAATAATTACAGCTCACTATAATACAACATTTGCAGCCAGTCCCCAGTGCTAGCATCACTGCCTCAGTTCCACCTCAGATCATCAAGCATTAGATTTTCATTAGGAGCATGCAACCTACATCCTTCACATGTGTAGTTCACAATAGAGTTTGTGCTTCTATGAGAATCTAATGCCACCACTGATCTGACAGGAGGTGGGGCTCAGGTGGTAAGGCCAGTGATGGGGAGCGACTGTAAACACGAGTGAAGCTTCACTTGCTTGCTGCTCATCTCCTACTATGTGGTACCACCAGTACCAGTCTGTGGCCTGTGGGGTTGGGGACCCCTACCTTAGACGAACACCATGGCCTGATAACTTCCTTGGCCTCAAGTATTGTTTATTAGATGGAAACAAAATTTGCTTCACCAGCAAGTGGCATCCTGGTTAAGGTGCTGGACTCCCATATGGCCAACTGCAGTTAAAGTTCCAGATTCAGTGGCTTGAGGATCACGCTGGGCGCATGTGTATGTGCCCAAAATCCTGAGAGGAGGATTGCAGCATAGCCATCCCCCATGGGATCTGATTTTTCACATTCCCTCTCACTGTCTCTCTCCCTCTCCCTCTCTCTCTCTCTCTCTCTCTCTCTCTCTCTCTCATATAAGAGATAAAATATGATAAGCACTGTTTCAATTGTGGTGACACGGAAGCTACAATGCCATTAATTTAAATTATTCTGTGAAAGTACAAACTATGCTTCAAAGAAAAAGACTATGTCTTGGGACCAGTATATGAAATAATGGTTACATTGCTGGACTCCCACATAGTCAACTGCAGTTCAAGTCTCAGATGTGGTGGCTTAAAACTCATGATAAGTACATGTGTGTGCATGCTCAAAATCCCAACAGGAGAATGGAGGAGAGGGTATTGCAGTGTGGCCGTTCCCCCTGGGATGATTTCTTGCTTTCTGTCTGTCTCTCTCTGTCTATCTGGTGAGCACACATGCCTTGTAGCAAAAACCTATCCAAAAATAATAATCATAATAATAATTTTAAAATCTTTTTGTTTTGTTTAGAGAGATTTTCGCCATAGGGTGCGTGTGCTCACCAGAGAAACATAGAGAGACATAAAGAGAGAAATCACCCCCTAAGGGGGTGGTTATTCCACAATCCCTTCTCCTCCATTCTCCTCTTGGGATTTTGGGCACACACACACGGCATGACTTTTAAGCTGTTGAATCCGGGACTCAAGCCATGGTCAACTCTGTGGGAGTCCAGCAACAACCATTATGCCATCTTCTAATCCCACCATATACTTCTTAACTTATCAGGATCAACTTCAGATTTACACTTAGTTCCAGTAAAATACAAAAATCTTACTCCTAATAACTACTCCCTTTACCCCTTTTTGTAGTAGCCTTGTCATATAAATACATCTATAAATCTTGCCAACCCAATGACACATTGTTATAATTATTACTTTGTATAATTTTATGTCTTTTACAGAAGCTGAGAGAAGGAAGGTAAGCAAGCATATATTTATCACTTTTGTTACATTAATCTTCTTTATCATTCTTGGTTCTTTTTTTTTTTTTTTTTTTAGATTTTTCTATAGGGTACATGGGCACACCAAAGAGAGACAGGGAGAGATAGACAGGGAAAGTGAGAAATCACCCCTCAGGGGGAATGGCCACCTGAAATCCTTTCTCCTCCATTCTCTTCTCAGGGTCTTGGGCACACACGCACGTGTGCCCAGTGGGTTTTTCAAGCCACAGGGTCCAGGACACTAACAACAGAGTCAGCCATGTGGGTCCCAACACCTTCACTACCACACCACCTGCTGGCCCCCTGATTCTCTATTTTTGTGAATTTTACTACTGTATTTAAAGACATTTCCTTAGCCTGACACTGCTCTGTTCCCACACAAAAACTTTGTGCTATTACTGACAAGTATATTGCATTTCTGTATCTTATAGACTCAAAAATACTGGATTGTCAGAAAAATCATGACACACACATACATACACACACACCTATAGTTTCTATCTCTTTATCAATAGTCTCTATTTGATGTGACACTGTCTTCACACTGTCCTTTTCTCCTTCAACTATGATTTCTTCTACATCCTTGAATTTTTTTAAGAGATATTTTTGCTATAGGGATGTGCATTCTCTGGAGAGACAGAGAGAGACAGAGAGACGGGGAGATGACCACATTGCAATCCCCTCTCCATTCTCCTCTTGAGATTTTAGGCACACATGCACCTGGCATGAGTTTTAAGCTTCCAGGTCCAGGAATTGAACCGTGGTCAGCCATGAGGGAGTCCAGCAACGTAAGCATTACTCCATCTGCTGGTCCCAATCCCTGACTATTTTTCTAATATACATATATATTCAAGCCACTGGGTCTGGGACTCGAACCATGGTATGCTACATGGGAGTTCAGCAACATAGCCATTACGCTAACTGCTGGTCCCTGTCTAGTGGATATTTTAAAGGCATCGGCTGTTACACCCAGCATCTGCTCATTTTCCGGGCAGTTCCTGTTGCCTCCATTTTTCCACAGTGTGAGAACTCATTTCCTGGCTCTCTGTGTGTCTCAGAATATTTTTTGGTTGCCGACCAGACATTTTAGATAATGTACTGTTAGCAACTCTGGTTATTGGTGTCCTAGCTCGGGCTTGTTAGGGTTACTTACGTTATTAATTTAGTGGTTGGAGGGTTGCTTTCATGGAGCCTGTTTCACCCCTGCAGTGTAGTCCCCTGTCCTTGGACATGGTCGTGGGTGTGCCCACTGCCATCCTGAAATAATCATGGTTTTTGCAGATCTTTCTTTCTTTTTCTTAATATATTATTAAGCTGGGGCCAGCAGGTGGTGTAGTGATTAAGACACTCCCACATGGCCAATCGCAGTTCAAGTCCTGGATCTGGCAGCTTGAAATTCACACTGGGCATCTGTGCGTGTATGTCCACAATTCTGAGAGAAGAATGGAGCAGAAGGGATTGGGGCATGACCATACCCCCGGGGGGGGTTATTTCTCAATTTCTGTCTCTCTGTCTCTGTCTCTCCAGGGAGCACATGTGCCCTATAGCAAAAATATCTGTCCAAAAAAAAAAAAAAGAGGGGCTGGCAGGTGGTGTGGTGGTTAAGGTGCTGGACTCCCACAGGGCCATCCATAGCTTGAGTCCCGGACCTGGCAGCTTGCTTTTTCACTTTCCCTTTCTCTCTCTCTCTCTCTCTGTTCCTTCTGGTCAAATGAATATAAATCAATAAAGTTAAAAAAAATAATTCTTAACGAGAGAAAGAAAGAAAGAAGGAAAGAAAGGAAGAAAGGAAGGAAGGAAGGAAGGAAGGAAGGAGGAAAGAAAATTGTGCTAGGTGTGTGTGCACGTGTGTCCAAAATACTAAGAATGGAGAAGGGATTGCAGCATGACTATTCCCCTTGAGGGATGCTTTCTCACTTTCCCTCTCCCTATCTACCTCTCTCCAGTGAGTGCCCACACCCTATAGCAAAACTTTAAAAAAAAAAAAAAAGAAAAGAAAAACAGCATAGTTCAATAAATACCTAAACTAGTGATCACTTACTATCACTATTAAGTATTATGTATTGGGAACCAGCA